CTAAGTACAAATTTTTCTCACAAAAAAAAAACCAACCCAATACACACACACACACACACACACACACACACACCCCAAACCCAAAGTAAGCCATAATAAGTTCTTGAACCTACTTTTCTCCATTTTCCAGTTATTCTGTCATCTCTGACATCCTGCCCTTTATCTGTCCCGTTTCTCACCCTTGTAAACAACAAAGGTTTTCCTCCCCGTCTATTGGGGGGGAGAGATTCTTTAGCCCCGTGGTCCTGAGTCTCACTGTCTACTTCCTCTCCCCAGAAATGCAGACTCTCCGAGTGTCTCTGGCAATGCTGGGAGCCGGTGTCTCTGCGAGTGTGAGCATATGCTCTTCCCTCCACCACAGCGAGCTCATCCCCACTGCGATCAGGTACGGGGACCGTCCACGTCCAAAACAAGACTTTCCCAAGTGAGGATTAATGGGACCGAAACTAAGACTGTGCAGGTGTTACAAAGAATCAATACTAACGAAAATAATGCCACTTACAGTCAAGTTACTAGAGCTGGCTTTGTACATTCAATATGATGCCAGATCCTTGAATCATCATCTCACTTCATCCTAGGAATCAATCTATGTGAACAATGATAAAAGAGTGTTTAGAGTAATTACAAACATGACGATGTTAAAGGTAGAGAAGGACAAAGGGAAATCTCCATGGATTTAACAACTGTGCTGTCCCCAGAATGAATTGAAAATTATTTTGATTGAAGTTTCATTAAACTTGACATCCATCGACTTTGACAAGACATTGTTTGTTTGTTTGTTTTCTTTTGCTCTTTGTTCTCTAAGGGGGACAGCCGCAGGAATCAATACGTTGGCTGGTAGGTGTGGAGCCGTCTTGGCTCCCCTCTTGATGACCCTGCAGATGTTTTCTGCCCCGCTACCCTGGATTGTTTATGGACTCTTGCCCTTCCCGACTGCCTTTGTTATCATGGTCCTTCCTGAAACCAAAAATCAACCTCTTCTTGACACCATCCAGCAACTGGAAAATGAGTAAGTAAATTCCGCACTGTCCCTTGTGTGTGGTGTTCCTCTCTGGGGTTGTCCATCGTTGGAGTCAACTCGGGCAACAGATTTGATTTCTGGTTTCATCTTTTTATGCAGGTATAGGCAGGCAATTTCTGTCTGTGTCCTTGTATTCAGTGGTAGTCTAACCCTCAGAAGGAAAAACGTCAGAATTCTCCTGAAGTTCCTTAGGTAGCATTGACACGGAGTCAGAATCAGCTGGACAGCAACAAACTTAGGTGGTTTTGGAATTTCTGGGTGACACAAACAATTTACAAGCTCAACTGCCAGCTCAAAGATTGAGATTCAGTCTATCATCCAGAAGCACATCACAACAACAACTTTGCTGTCTATTCCTGAAGCTGGACTACCTACTGGTCATTAAGAACTTGGTCCATCAACAAACAAATGGATAAATTGAGTATAGTATGCTGTTAGGGACCTCTCCAGGGTACTGAAGAGCAGTGGTGTCACTCTGGAGACTAAGGTGCATCTGATACAGGCTATGGTCTTTGCTATCACTTGTTATACATCAGAGAGTTGGACAATGACTAGGGAGGATATAAGGAGAATTGATGCCTTTGAGCTGTGGTGCTGGAGAAGAGTATTGAATGTACCATGGACTGCTAAGAAAACAGATTCATCCTGGAGAGGGTTAAACCAGGCTGCTCCTTGGAGACAAGGATTCTGGGGCTTCATCTGACATACTTTGAACATGTAAGGAAGAACAAGTCCTTGGAGAGGCACATCATGCTTGGGAAGGTGGAGGGGCGGGGCAAGAGGGGAAGACCCTCTATGAGGTGAATTGATTCAGTGATGGGTAATCAGGATGGGTGTGTCAGAAGCAGTGCGATTGGCACAGGATAGAGCAGGGTTTAGGGCTGTTGTACATAGGGTCGCTATGAGTTGCAAGTGACTCGATGGCACATAACAACAACAACATATTCACACAATGGAATACTATGCAGCACTGAAAAACAATGTACCTGTGAAACATTACACAACATGGTTGACCCTGGAGGACATTATGCTGAGTGAAATATCTCACTCACAAAGGACAAATACTGACATTGGAGGTTGGGAGGAGAATATGATAAGAGTGGATAGATATTGAAAACTGCATTAGAACAGATGAAGGAAAGAACTGTTTAAAAGGAATTACTATTAGGCATTATACAGATGACAGCAACTCAAAATAAGAGGACCTTTGCAAAGAGGACTGAGGGTGGGGGGAACATGGGAGGGAAGTTAACCCCCCCCCAAAAAAAGAGCCAGGTGGAACAGTTCTAACCCAGTACATGTGAGATCATCTTGAGTTGACATGTGCTGTTGTTAGGTGATGTCAGACTGTCTATGGCTCATAATGACCCTCTCTGTATAGAGAAGAACACCTTGTCCAGTCCTACGCCTTCCTCACATCTCTGCCAGGCTGAAGTCCATCGTTGCAGTGACTGTATCATTTCATCTCATTGAGTCTTCTTATGTTTTGCTGACCCTCTCTCTACTTTGCCAAACTCCATGGTATTTTTAGAAACCTGGATTTCCTGATAACATCCTCAAAGTACACGAGGTGAATTCTCACCGTCCTTGCCTCTAAGGAACATCCTGGCTACACTTCTTGCAAAACAAGCTTTCTTTTTAACAATCTTTGGTAAATTCAGTCGTATGGCAGCGGGGCACAGCACCACAATTCAGCCAATTCTTGGAGTCTATTTCTCATCAATTTCTCCAGCACAGGTTGAACTTCTTCTTCGTTCATTGGTTCTTGACCCTACACTACTGCCCCAAATGACTCAGTGTTGAGCAATTTGTTTTGTTACAGTGACTCTATGTTCTGCCATCTTCCTTGGATGCTGCATTCATCAGTCACTATTTTGTCCACAGAAACCTTCTGTATTAAAAATAAAAGAAAAAATAAAACACTTCACATTTGTTGCAGCTTCAGTGACCATTGGTGGCAGAGTCCGCAGGGGATTGCTTGGCTCACTGAGAGGACGTGCCTCTCTGGCAGTGAGAATTCCCTAGAGGCTCTCCAGGCGTCAGTTCCCACCCATGCAATCTATAGCCTCCTGAGCTCGCCGGAGGGTCAGCTATGAGTCTTGTTCCAACACAGTTCCAGTGAGCTTTTGTATTTTCAGCTGGAGAAAGGTCTAGTGTGTTCTTCCCATTTGGTTTTCTAACTCCAAATCTTTTCACATAATACTTTGCTTTGTCTTGTCAAGCTGTCCTCTGAAATATCTGTTCAGCTCTCTTAATTCACCATTTCTTCCTTCTGCTTTAGCTTCTCCACATCCAAAAGCAAGTTGCAGAGTCTCATCTGACATTCATCTTGGTCTTTGCTTTTGTCGCTTTGTTTTTTAATGACCTTTTTGCATTGCATGCTTTGTGTATGATGTCCTTTACATCATCCCACACAGCTCATCTGGTCTTTGGTCAATGCATCAAAGCAATTTTTGAGATGCCTCTAAAGTCAGAGGGAATACAGTGCAGGTCATATTTGGTGGTTGAGGACTTGACTTGTTTTCATCTTCTTTAATTTCAATATGAACTTTCATATATGCAACTGATGATCTGTTCCTCAGTGAATCCCTGACCTTGTTCTGCTCTTCCCACAGATGCCATCAAGGGTCTGTGTATTCCATCAGGGAAGACCCAGGGACATACTCACCAGTTATATGTTGGTTTGTTTTGTTGTGGTTTTTTTTAAAGTGTTTGTAGTAAACAATACATTGTTGTTGTTATTATTATGTGCCATTGAGTTGCTTGCAACTCATAGTGACCCTATGTAAAAGAGCCCTAAATGCCGTTCTATCCTGTGCCAACCTCACTGTCTCAAACACACTCATTCCCACCACTCCACTCACTGTATAAATCCATCTCATCGAGGGTCTTCCTCTCCTGAGCCGCCCCTCCACTCTGCCAAACATGATGTCCCTCTCCAAGGACCAGTCCCTCCTTGCAACATGCCCAAAGTATGTCAGACAAAGCTTCAGACTCCTTGACTCTAAGGAGCACTCTGGCTTCACCCTCTCCAGGACAAACCTATTTGTTCTCCCAGCAGTACATGGTATATTCAGCACTCTTCTTCAACACCACAACTCAAGGGCATCAATTCTCTATCATCCCTATTTACTGTCCAACTCTCCGATGCATAGCACATAATTGTGAAGACTATAGCCTAGATCAGGCACACCTTAGTCTCCAGCCTGATGTCATTGCTCTTCAGTACTCTTGAGAGGTCCCTAACAGCTGACTTTCCCAATGCAATTCATCTCCTGATTTCTTGGCTGCTGTTACCAAGAGTACTAATATCAAATGCTATCATGTGATCTCTGAACTCATTTATATTATTGAGGATATGTGTTTCCCAACTACCAACATTTCTTTTTTCTCCAACTTTTTTTTTTTTCTCCAACTTTTATAACTAACCATAACTTATTATTAATGCATCTTGGCTGGTTAACTTTAGTCTAAAAGTGATGGTAGAAAGTCTCAAATTTTTCATCTTTGGAGTTGTTGTTGTTGTTGAGTGCTGTCAAGTCATAGGCAACTCATAGAGACCCTAAGAATGAAAGTCCTCGACACTTGAGTGCGTGACTTTCATCCTTGCTCCAGGTTTACAGGATTTCCGGAGGCAAGCTATTTATGGAAGTGGATGCCACTCCTGCTTCCAAGCTTGCTTCAACCGGGGAGCTCCACCAAACACTGTCCACCATGGAAAGCTGTTATCGCATTTGACACGTCAGTGTCACAGTGTTCAGCTTCACAGTGACCACAAGTTACCTCTGTAGGGCAAGTGGACACACCAGGGCTATACGACCTAGAAAACTGTTTGAACAAAAACAATGAAAAACAGACCTTAGAGAGTTAGTAATTTATAATAATAGTATTATGAACAGGTCTTCCTTTGCATGGCTATGGAGACTATGCCATCATTGACAACAGTGTACTTCAGGAAAATTCTTAAATATTCTTTTCCATAATGAATGGGACCCTACTCCTCTTCAATTTGTCATTCCTGGTATAGTGGGTCATATGATTATCTGATGTGAATAAATAATACTTATTAGCTCACTAATGCTTAAGAGGTCAATTTTGACATGTTCCACCTCACTCTGTACAGCTTCTAATTTTCCTATATTCATACTTCCTACACCGCAACTTCCAGTTATTCATGATTGTTTGCAACTGTTTCTCCTCACGTGGAGTCATGCCAGTCCAGAGTTCGCCTCTCACACTGTGGCAGCTTGCACATCTCTGTGATGCTGGAAGTCATCCCACTAGTATTTCAAGTACTAGCAGGGTCAGTGCCAATTCCAGACTAAGACACCCTTGGAAGCAAGACTGTCCAACCACTTCTAAAACTTTGGACTGTTCTGCCAACGAAATGCTCCTCCAAGGAAATCC